ACCAGAAGTTAGAGAAGTGTTGATGAAATGGGTGAGAAACGGTCGAATATCAGGAGCGATAGTCTGAAGGAGGTTTGAGGGGATAGGGTCCAGAGGACAGGTGGTAGGACGGGCAGAGGTAATGAGGGTAAGAACCTCACTTGGAGAGAGAGGGGAGAAGGAGGTCAGTGTGTGGGTGAACGGTGGGTCAGGTGACCCAGCGGTGAGTAAAGGTGAGTCAGAAAAAGAAGAGCGAATATCATCAACCTTTTTTTCAAAGTGGTCAACAAAGTCGCTTGACAGAAGGGAGGATGGGGAAGGGGCTTTGGGGGGGTCCAAGAGGTTGGAGAAGATGGAAAATAGTTTTTGGGGATTGGAATAGGAAGATTGGATCTTATCTTGAAAGAAAGTGCTTTTTGCCTGAGAGATNATCTAGTTCGACTCGCCCAGAGCTTACTCCCCCTCTTTTTCTCTAAGAGGGCAGGAGGCAAAAATAAGAATATTTCATTCTTATCTTCGTGCCCCGTCTTTGGGAGGAAAAATGCGTCACAGGTCAGTCCTGTAGTTTGCCGCTAGTGTATAAGTAAACTATTAAATGAACCGTAATCCCCGTCTATAGATCTATGAAAGGTCCAAACTGTATTACTTAACACTGATGAAAATTTCGTTCGTTCGCTACAAAAAGTCTTAGACATTTAGTTTTTCGAGGAGTTTTCGTGATAGCTTCGTCAAGGAAGGCAACGATGCAAATCAAGTTTGTCATTGTTGCCCCTGATAAAAAGTAAATCTCCTACGTACAGTTAAATTTATTTATGTTGATAAAAAATTTAGTTATTTTATTAAAAGAATTTAGGTATTTTCGTAAAGTAAAATTATAACCTCAGTACAGCAATGCAAACCAACTCTTACACCGGTACATGTATTGTCATTACACGTGTAACGTGTAACGCTATTACAACCCCCTCTCCTGCAGGGGGGCGTGGTCAGCTGCAGCTCACAGAATCGGCCTTTTCTTTAAATATAATTTTAAAATGTCGATACAGTAGCCCCTTTTTTAAAATAGTTTTTATAGGTGTTGCTATCTGTTTTGTGTAGCGTGGTTCTACAAGCAAGTCAGTGCATTCTTTGGGTGGTATCAGAGAGTTACAAGGGTCTGTAAATGCAATGAAAACATTTGGCCACAGCAAATCATTTATATTAAACATGTAATTTTTACTTTTGAATACTTCAGTACAAAGGATCTTTTGGCAATGAGACTTTAAAACACATTTCACGATTTCTTTAATTTAGACACAGGTGTTCACTTGACCTTATGCAGGATCCGGGAAGATGTGACGTCATTGGAAGTAGTTTCGTGTCTAGTAAACTGTAATCAAGTTAGGATCATCGACAACAAATCTGCTAATAAATTCACCGGGTTGTAACCTTTATAAAGACTCTTAGCTGCCGTGCACGTACGTAGGTGCATGTCCTCTACTGAGAATGAAAGCGAAAGCAACGAACACTCATCTCGCTGTTTGTGTCGTCACTTCGCTCCAGTTTTACGAGGAGATAGGGGAGTGTTGTTTTGCGCACAAGGCGAATTTGGGATTGAAAAACCAGCAGAGCACAAGCCAGACTTTGCCTCGCTGAATGATGTGATGTTCACCTGAAACCATGACGGACAGATCACAGGACGGTACTGAAAGGACTCGAGAGTTTTTTTTCACCCTCGTCTTGTTTTCAGCACTTTAATTCGACTCAACTGTAAACAAAACAAGACAGCATGGAGACAAATTTACGCGCGGTTACCTGCCCTGACTGTTTTTAGGACTGAATGCAGCTTTAATGTGAGAATCTTCAATCGTACAGCTCTATTCTTTGTACAAGGTAAGTGACAAACAATGTGTTTACCAATTATACACTTCTTGCAGTCCAGTTATTGCATATTGTGCTGTTTTTATGACCTGGGCTGGTCAATTAAAACAAATTGATTCTATAAACAAATATGAAATTCAAACGCAACATTAAATGCAATATAAAGAACCAGCTATTCTGATGCTGTAAAAAGTGTTTTTCTTTAACAAATATGGGAAATGCCAGACAAGTTCTACAATACATTTCCATTGGAATTTATGTTTTATTTTCTGAATTGTTTTGAAAAAGTGTTTTAAATTATCCTAAATCAACTCATCTGCATTTTGTTTTATTGTCTTGATCTTGTTTCAGCACCTCGGAGAGCGTAGTTCTCTGCGAAATAAAAATATGTAGATCATCCACTGGGTGGCAGCATCAGTCCCTTTTTATTTTAGGGTTCTTTGTTTCACAAATGTACTGACCAAATGTAATAAATCTGACTATTCAGAGCAGCAACCAAAGATGCAATTAACACAACCAGACAGTTATCATAATGGCATACAACAACTCAGTGTTAAACAGGTAGAGCATGTTTTATATGATTTGCTTCTAATTTATTTTAAGTACTGCATTTTTTGAATGTATAAGCTGTTTGAAACGTGAGATATAAAATAAGATACATTTTGGTGGAGAAAGAAGCACTCGCAACTTGTACTTTAGTACAAAAATATCACCTATACTAGGCTAATGTATTACCCAAAGTAAAGGTACTAATTTAGCAAAATTGCCAATTTCAGAACAGTATAATCATCATTAAATCATTCTTATATTCAATTAAATAAATTACTCTAATATCGAAGCTAGTAAATGTTGGGGTAACTTGTACCGACATCTGTTTTCTTCAGGATCATGATGCTCTGTCCGGACCGGCCTGAGTCCGACCTGCTTTGGGAAGAATCGGACACGGAGACCCTTCTGGACACTTTCAATGTGCAGTGTGGGTCCATGCCAGCTGAACCCAAGGAGGGAGATGGCAAGGCGCACTCAGTTCATTTGCCCATTCTCAGCAGGGAGGAGAAGAGGCGGAGGAGGCGTGCCACAGCCAAATATCGATGTGCGCACGCCACCAGGGAGAGGGTCCGCGTGGTGTCCTTCAACAGGGCCTTCTCAGAGCTGAGAAAACTGCTCCCAACTCTCCCACCAGACAAGAAGTTGTCAAAAATTGAGATTCTGAGACTTGCAATTTCTTACATCTCCTACCTCAACCATGTGCTGGATGTTTAGACTTTTAGAAACCAATAGGAGCATGGTGACTGAGGCAGGATGATTGTTTGTATTCTTGACAGCTGAATGATTTCTCAATGAAACACTCAAACTCACTCGCAAAAGATTTTGTAGCAAAATATTTGAAGAATACCATTTCATATCTGGGGTTTATTTTGTACATATCAGTATTTATGTTAAACAGTTGAAGGACTACATTCATACTGTTATAAGAATGTAAAGAATGAAAACAGATGTTTAATATAATATTTGTGTAGAAAATATACAAAAATATTGATATGCTTGACGTTAAATGTGCTGCCTTGTCTTGCCTTGACAAACTTGGTTTCCTGTTTGCACACATTTGTAAATATATTTGTTTAAATTACTCAAAAATGTTCCATTAACTGTTGTGATAATTTCAGTTGCAGCTAAATCCATATGTTGAAAATAAAATGTTGAAAACATTTTTCTTTTTTTTACCCTATTGTAGCAATAATAGCAACGTCTGATCCGTCTGCCTTATTATATATCATTTAAACATACGTCTTCAGCAAGCATTTGATATTCCTTGTTTTAATTTAAGTAAAGCCTTAATGGAAGCTACTACATAAGCTGTTCTTCTGCCACATGGGTGAGGTATTGGGGTTTCTCTCCCTCTGGATGGGGCAGGTGTTTCTCCAGATGAACCAAAGCAACCATGTGAGAGCCACCCATCTGCTGCCTCTCTGGGGACACACACAAATGTATATACACACAAATGAGACAGTAATATCAACCTATACAGAAACAGTCAGTCGCATCTTTTTCATAACAATACATGGGATTTCTATTTAAAAAGCTAAAAAAAAGTAGTGCATTTGGCTCAGTGTTTGAGTAAATACCAACATGATTTGAATAAAATTGTGATAATGTTAAATGTCATTTATAAGCAAAACAGTCCCAGGACTATATTTTCAAATTTGCTGCAACATTTTCCGGGGTGGGTAAATGTTTGCTAACATCAGGAGACTCTGTAAAGCTGCACATGGTCTTTTTTGTGATTTTAGTCAAATGGGTATATAAATAATTTATGTTCACATTGAACCATTAAGTTGTTTTTCAGTGTTTTGACATACTACCCAGGCTTTGGCCATTACCAAGAGATGGCTTTTATATTTTGGTCTGAGATCAGGCAGAGGATACAAACTCCTGCGTGTCCCTTTGATTTCTCTCTCCATTAGTCAGAGCTGTCTGTGCTCCCTCGCTCGTCCCTTTATGCAAGTCTCTGCGGTGTAATGTGGCCCAAGGGGCTCGTCGTATTGTTCATGTCCACTCCAGCAGCAAGAGTGACAGCCTTTTGTCTACACATCACACACACTACACACTCGGTCTACACACTGGATACAATAGGTATGTTGGGGAGTCGAGGGAGAGAGGCCAGCCTTAGCATCAGATTTTAAGATTAATGGGGCAGGGAATGCTGTAGAGGCAATACGTTGAGGATTATTAATATCCTGTATAGTTTCAGCCAATGTGGGTCAAATACTAAAACTAGGTAAGATCTGAAGGCTATTTAAGTCTGAATACGACTCTGTCACACACCGCTGTGAAAGGAGCAACACTGCCCTCTGATGGAGCCTCATATAGGGAGATGAAACTGTAAAAAATCCACATTCACTTTTTTATTTATGTGAATAGATATTTTAAATAGAATTCTGCATCTTTTTGTTTTAAAATAACTTTCCTAAAATGTAGTTGAGACAATTGTATGGACGCATGTTTCTGTACCATTGATGCCTGCATGCATGCATTATTGCGCCTGATCTTTAGTAGAGTTCACGTGGTGTTTCAAGTGTAAGATCACTAAGGAATCAATTGAAGTGGGTTACTTATGTTTTTTTTCAATCACCTCCCATCCTGAGTTATAGGTTGAGAGGTTTTTGCTCTTCAGAAGATATTCAAGGTAATGGCTACATGTTCTGTATGTTTCTTGGACCACTGGAAATTGATTATTTGCTTTATTGGCTGTCAGCAGCGTGTATTTGGTCAAAACAGGAAATGTGTTTTTTCCACAAAAACACCCCCAGCATGGCACCAATTCGCTGTAGAGGCCTTCTTTCCTCAGTGCAAAAAGGACACTTTTCATTATAGTTAGAAAAAAGGCCCTTTTCCCCTATAATTTATCTTTGTCTTTTGGCAAGAGATGGACTGCCTCAAATTATAGAGTGTAAATCAGGATTTTGTGGCAGATTTATTCCTCCAAAAGTCCAGAGGTGACATGTCTTGACCCTAAAAAAATCTCAAATGCACTGCTGCTGCTGCTGCTGTAAATCCTGAGGCCCTGTTAAGACAAGATTCACCTCAATGCCGTTTTTACGTTTCTATTCTGAAAAATGTATGGAAACCTAGAGAATACACCTTTCAGAAGGCTTCCATATCACAGTAGTTTGAATTTGATAATAGACTGTACAACCTAGTGTCACTTGGTGTCTCTGCACATACACCAGTCTATACAATGACTGTCAACATCAAAGTGGAAAATAATAACCAAACACATTTTTGAATGGAGGGGGGTTTCACACACTGATTCACATAGAAAGTAGAAGACATTCCTGCCTATAGCAAGTCTATATCTGACGTAAATAACGCCCTCTTGTGGGCAACAGCTGAAACACTAGTTTTACTGCACTTGAAGTGTATTGTACCTCCATGCTGCCTCTCTCTCTGGTACCGCTAACCACAATGGCCAGGCTCTTGTGAGGGAGCTGCCCGTGTCAGTGCAGAACGGCGCGCCTCAGCAGCAGATCCAACCAAACACTGACACCCAGACGCAAGTGGAGGAATGTGACACACTTCTGAGAAAAGAAAGGTAGGTAAATGAATAGATTGTCGCGATGCTGCGTTCATTACACCGGGTGTATGCTTCCAAACGCCTGAGACTAAACCTCTCGCAGGAATTACTGATGAAGTTCAATGCTGCCGTCGTGGAAAATGGTTTCCTTCTTTTCAGACAGATGTAGCATTTAGTGCTCCTATCCGATATTTATAAGCAGGTAACCTTGCCGATTTGTATTAATGCTATATGGGCAGTGTTCTTTTTTAACACTGCCCCTGTGCCTATATACTGTAGTAGTAGTAGTAGTAGTAGTAGTAGTAGTAGTAGTAGTAGTAGTAGTGTGGATAAATAGATAAAACCAGAATATGCACGCATAATTTGAGGTGATAACCTGCTGTGGTTAATGGTGTTCAGGATATGACTGAAACCAGATCTATTGAAACCGAAACTGCAGCTGAGTAACAGAGAAGTAACATCACATCCCTAGCTTTATCTCAGACCCATGAGCGAGCCTCTGAAATAAAGGGCGTAATAGATGCAAACGGCTGCTGCAGGGTGATGGTGTGTGTCGCCATCATCAGCAGCTGTCTGGAGAGCACACCACTGGGCACAGCTGGATGAGGTGTTACTATGACTAAAGCCTCTTCACGTGCCTCCTCTGGCACTATATGTGTTGTATTCTTCATTATCTCAGAGTCCTGATGCTGCAGTGTAACTGTTCGTCACCTACAGACATGTATTATTGATTAGTGCTGAAAGGTCCTGTGCACAGAGGTTTAGAGTATGGGACCCCCTTGGATAGATGAACCACCCCCTGGAATAATGGAGGCTATTTTCGCCATGAATGATCAAAAGAAAGGAGTGTCAGCACTGCTTTTGTCATTTTTTCTTTTAAACCGTGTATTTTTTCTGGCTGGCAGTGCATCGAGTTTAATGAGAAGTGGAGCTACCTTTCAGCTACCTTGAGGCTACTGAGGAGCATTAGGATCCTGCAAAGCTTGGTTGCACACTGTAATGCGTGATGCATTGTAGAGTAGTGTACAGCACTGTATTTACAGGCATAAAAGCACTGCTCTTAAAGTAGGAATGTAGTGAGTTATCTCTCTCACCACTTCTCTCCCTCTACTGTACTTTTATTTAGTTCCACATGAGCGGATCAGGGAGGGAACAAGTTTGCATTCCAGAGAACTGTGTCAGGTCTTAACTTTCTCCTTTTACTCTGTGTGTGTGTGCGTGTGTGTGAAAAAGCATCAGGGTGGGAGTGGCTGAGACTCTCACAAGTCACTCAAAGGTCAAAGGTTTTCTCTCCACACATATCTGACAAATACCTTTGCACAAGGCATCAAATGTCACAGCAAACAATGAAGAAAGCACACAGGAAAATGACATCATACTGTATACCCCGATGGCGAGGTCCAAGAAATAATTTCCATGGGTGTTACATGCTGCCATGTCTTAAGCTCCATTTGGTGATTTCTCGTCAGTTAACAGCGTTGTTATAATGCAGTTAGGCAGCAGCTGTTCCTCTGGGTTATCTGAAGCCCATGTAGGGATTGGACTTACACACTGGCACACACTGTGTTAGCCATTGTTTGATTTCAAAGAGGTCCTACATAGCCTACTGACCCGTGTTACTTACGTGTCTGTTCATGTCTTATATGCCAGAACAGGTGTCATTGCACTACAAATAATATACAGATGAAACAATTTGTCGGCAATTATTATACAATTTGTGCATTGTCTTTGGAAGTTATTTATAAAAAAATAGCTACAATTTAGTGGTTCCGGGTCGTTCACTGAGACAATTTTCTTTCATAGTCTACTTTGATAGTATATTGACTACTGTTGGCATTTGAACTGTTATTTGGTCTAAACTATCAATTTGAGGATGACCCCTTGCGCTCAGGAAAGTTAACGGTTAATCAGTTAATAAAGAAAATTATGTAGGAGGGGCTTTGCAGATTGTAGATTGCTTTGACATTGTGAAAAACGATAGAGAAAATAAACTCACCCAGCTGCTGCATCTGGCAGATTATGGCATGATGCCACCAGGGCAGGGCGCACATGAAGGAAGCCAGGCACGAGGGCTAATGGGTGTGAGGGCGGGCACAGATGCCATGGTAACCAGGCCTCAGCATGTGCTCTGGATGAGCTACGAGGCTGATCTGTGCCATTTAGGGTGCCAACCATAGACTGTATGGTGCCAACATTACATTGAGCACTTTATGGAATCTGAAATTCCACACCTCTCTTTCTCTGCCCGGATTGGAGGCCAAAATGTGAAGCCAAGGACATTTAACTAAAACCCAACATTCTTATGTGTTATTATTAATTCATGAGTTGAATCAGCGGGGGGAAATGCTGCAAATAGCCTAACCTATCAGATGTTAAAGATGATGAAACAATGAGTCCATCATAACGCATGTATGTACCCCTGAGCCTTCCAGTAGCTCCCACAGTGCACTAAACAAACACACTAATGACTGTTTGTTTTACATTAGTGTCACTTTCTGCCCTCGTGCATCTCATGTCGGTGCAGCCAACCAGAACGGTCTGCAGCTACGTCTCACTAGAGAATCCCTTTTTCCTCCCAGGGTTCCTCACAGACGACTACTGAATTTTTTGGATGGACAGACTCCGAATAAGCATGCAGCGGCTCGTCTCTGATGCACCTTGTTATGCTTTATTCATAGTTATCCGATGGTTTGTAACTGATAGTTTTCTTTACCCCCTGGCTGCGATTTTCCACATGGCCTGGTTCACTATGCCTCTTCATGCTCGTCTCGTGGATGAGTGGCTTCCCAGAGGAATCATCTTGGCCCACATACCACGGCCACGCGTTCAGAGATCAGCACTCAGGGGGTTAACAGCTTTCATTCAAATCATTGGCTCATTCATTTAACCATGCGGGCGATGGGTGTGATGAGAGACCATTGTTTGCTCTTTGTGCCCTCACAGTGTGCCACCCCCCACCTTTACTCTCACATACACACACACACACACACACACACACACACACACACACACAGACACACACTCACACGTACACACACACCAACACACCCATTACTAAAATTTACTCTCAGCAGGGGTGATTGATTATTGCTGCTAGATGGGGCCTCGTGTGTTGCCAAGGAAACAGTGGACGCTCCAGATGTGTGTTAGGGATGAGAGATGTGACCCTCCTCTGTCAAAACTCGGGTTCATGTTTAAAAATTGATGCTGTGACACTAGCTTTGATGCTGTGAGTGGTATATTCAAGTACAATATTTATGGGAGTCCCAAACATGCAGCTCTGCCTTGTTCAGCATATGTTCCCCTGCTTTTAATAGCAAAAGTTGATTCTGACTTCTTATTCACGTTCGATCTACTCTGCATTTTGTCACAACACTGTCGTTTGCAATTTATTTTGTCTGACATATGTCCTCCTGCCAGTGGTGACGTTTTTACATAATTTATATGCGTTGTATGACAATCCTAAATGGAAAAACTGTGGTTTCTTATTTGCGCTGTCCACATTTCCCATGATGGGCAATGTAGAGAGAGAGAAACATTCAACCCCAACTGCATCATCTTTATGGAAATCAGATACATTACAGTTTCTCCCTCTAACCATCATTCTCACAGCATGATCTCCAGGCAGCTGCGTGCATTCACATCCTAATGTGCTGAATTGGCTGTTTTCTGTTTATATGCATCACTGGCTACAGAGATAACATTATAGTCTGAAAATGACGGGAAGGAAAATAAACGGGTTACTAAAATGAGACTGGGCTGGGGATGGTGATTGGCAGGTGGTTGTCAGGACAACAGCAGGGAGACAGACAGAGTGTAGATTGAGGTCTAAATGAATGGTCATGCATGGTGAAGCCTGGAGACGTCCTAATTCATCACACAGCAGACATTAGGGCCCAGGAAGACAGTCTGTCAAACTGCATAATGAAAAGATAGAGAGGGTCTTAACATACAATGGGGGATTTTTTTATTGTATTATTCAAATTGTGAATAGAATGGCTATTTAATAAATAATTGGCAATATGGCCAAAATCTTCCATCAAGATATAGGTCATTTTATATATCAACATGTTATATAACACTATATGTAGCCCCACTATACTTGGCAAATACTTTTTTGTATACTATTGTGTGAAATAACTCTGCAATAAATAAAAAGTGCTGTATATACTAATTTTAAGAACTTCAGTGCAAAATGAAAAAGAAATACACAGGCAAAGTCTATATTGTGATGGAAGCAATATAGAAAAATATATACTATTGACATTTGTATATTGTTTTGACAATAATGTCATATTGCCTGACCCTAGATTGCAGTATTTTTTATTTGGCTTGATTATTTGTCTTTCTGCTCTTATTATTGTTTCAAATATGACATTGAAACTCTTTTCTTACTATGTAATTCCGTGGTGCTAGTAGAAACTGGTTAAACTGACCTCCATTTTCTTCCCTAAACCTCATGTCTCTAGGACTATGAAGTAATTCTTTATTTAAACTTCATTTAACCAGGAAGTCTCCTGAGACACATTACTTTTTTTACAAGAGAAACCGGGACAAAATGAGACAGTTTGACTTTATTACAGCCTTCATGAATCATGCTATGAATGTGGGCCATGTCATTCCAAGCCCAGTGTGCAGAGTATAGCAATTTGGCTTTGCAAATAGACTCTTAAGATTATCAATCCTTTATTTTATAGAGGTACAGCAGACAAAGCATGGTCCAAACGTTCATGAAAGACAATCTTATTAAGTACCTGCCCTTCCTGTCCCAAAGCACAGATAATGAAAATGGATGTTGTCTCTAATATTTTGATTATTAATCATGCTGTAATTAAAAACAATTATAAACAGCAAAATGTGCAGAAATATGTTGCATGACTAACATAAACAATACATAATTTGTTCTGAATTACAAACTGTTGACGCCTGATATTCTTCCTCTCCATCTCTCAGGTCAATGTGGACACTACAGCAGCTCTCTGGGGTAGTTGTCGGTCGCCGTGGATTCCTGAGGCCCGTCTCTATAGCAACCCATTCCTCCTCCTGAGTACTGCTGCCAACTTACCCTCTCCACCACACAACAAATCTCTCCTCATCCCCCTGGCCAATCGCCAGCCCTGCACATTGTTGAAATGGACACTGAGTCAACCCACTCGGGCTACTCCTATCACTCCAGCCGCTCGGGGAGATCAAACCGACATGGGTATGTTTCCTGTCTGCCCGCCTTCCCATCTGACTGTCTGCTCCTCCACTGTGTCTGTCTCTCCCCCCCATGACAGAGCTTTCTGCTACATCCCTCGCAGCATCTTTTATATAGTATGTCATGTAATTACTGTGGTGCTCATTGTGTTTTTATTCAGTTTGTCCGGCTCACGTGTTGGTTGCATCTAAATAAATCAGCTGAGAGAGAGACAGTAGAGAGAAGCAGCTAGAGATTGAGAGCAACAGAGCTTGTGGATTAGGGTCGTCACAGCTGAGTGACTCTAACCTATTTCAGTGATTCACTCGGCCTATCCGGCCAATGAGAGAATCGTTTTATTCCCATCCTATATATTCCTTGATATCCACCCCCATTTCCAGCCATTTGCAAAATAGGGATGCAACTAGCAAATATTTACCACATTGAATCATCTGTTCTGTTCTGTTCATCAAGTGTCAGAATTATTATATATGTATTTGGCAAAGAAAATGGCAATTACACATTCCCCAATGTCAATGGTCTTCAGAGGTTTTGATTTCTCAGACAAATGATCCAAAACCCAAAGATATTTAGCCCCTAGGTAACTCACCTAGTAGAGTTCTTACTGAAGTGACCCTGGTTTAAGTCCAACCCATGGCCCTTTGCTGTATGTCTTCTCCCTCTCTCCCTCTTTCGAGTCCAAATCTAAATAAACACAAAGATATTTGGTTTATTTATCATAAAAGACGAAGAAAAGCAGGCAATGTTATGCACATTTTGAGAAGCTTGCACCATTTAAGTAATAAACGAATGAAACTGATTGTTAGGGTTTTGTCAATCAATCAAATCAAACAATTAGAATACATCAACATCAACAAGGCTGTCAAATTGTGAATTGTGATTTTAACTATTTTCCTCAAATGTTATAGATGAAACAATAAGGAAAACCCTCCAGATTAATCAGAAACAACTATGTAGGCACATGGTGTATATGTGTTTGGTCTTATCTGATCTCTTCACTCCTCTTGTGACATTCCTAATCTTCATCGCGGGTTTTCTCTATAGCGATCGGAGCCGTGAGCGGCACAAGACAAGCAGTAAAGACAGCGTTCGCTCGGAGAAGTCCGTCGTCATCAACCCCCCCGACACGCCCTCCCAGGAGTCCCCTGTTACCAATGGAGAGCCCCTGCCAGGAGAACCCACACCAGCAGAAGATCAGGGAGATGATGCCCAGGTATTTTCCATGAAAGTGTACAAAAAACTGTGAAGGAATGAAGGCTGTTTTTTAGAAAAGTCATTTATTCCTTCAGAATCTCAATCTGCAGTAATCCATCTACAGTATGAACTCTTCACCATGACCTTTTTTAAACCCGTCCTCTCGGCAGCTGGCTGCCCATTGCCACAGCGCCTGACACATAATAACAATAGTGACGAGGGATCAAATAGGTCAGAGGATTTGCATCCCACTTCTAGGCCTGGACGGATTTGTACGGACAATGCTGTGGTACTGTGTGTGTGTGTGTGTGTGTGTGTGTGTGTTTGTGTGTGTGTGTGTGTGTGTGTGTGTGTGTGTGTGTGTGTGTGTGTGTGTGTGTGTGTGTGTGTGTGTGTGTGTGTGTGTGTGTGTGTGTCATTGGGTATAACGGTCATACAGCCTGATCGCTTTGAAAGCAAATTTGTACCAGTTATTCTATAAAGCGGATTTTTCTGAGCTCTGCAAGCAAGATAAGTAGAAACAGGGAAGTGCAATGCTGTGATAATGCAGCTCAAAGACAGAATGGGTATTTAGCTAGGTCAACGCAGCTAGGATTAAAGATGCTTTTATGCCGTTATCATTATTTCAAATACTTTGACGAATAAACGTATTTGAGTAAAATGAGGAGGTCAATCACAGTCATCGGTTTGCCAGCTGTAACCAGCAGCTTGGTATAAAGACTGGAAACAGGGGGAATAATGGCTAGCCTCGCTCTGTTAGCTCTGTTTTTGTATTCTACTTACCAGCAACCCTTACATTCTCTAATTGACAGGCCATATACCCTGGTACTCTGTAAAATAACTAAAGTTTAAAAACAGCCAGTTGAGGTTTTACATGGCGTTATGTGCCAGACTATTTCTTTTGACACTTCCTGTGAACTATCATCATGATATCACCAGGCATAACCGCTCATGAAACAGCAAATTGTTGTATTTATAGAAGTTTTTTTAAAGCTATTTAACACACAAATGAATTTACATTGTTGATTAGTGAGCTTGAGAAGTGCTGGTATGCATTTTTGTACAATATTTCCATAATTTATGCTGAATTAATACAGTAGCTTCGGCTTAATATTCAGCAGGCAGAGATTTATGTTCTCATCTAACTCTAAACAAGAAAGCAAATAAACATATTTTCCAAGATACCAGGCTATTCCTTTTATTGCAGAGGTTCAGGTAAATTCAAATGAAAGTTAAGAAAGCTGAGGTAGAAGCAGTAAGACAACCTAAGAAAGAGAAACAAGAGTCATGTTTATTTCTCTTTAGACAAAACTCTGCCTAGGGCTGCATTCATAGGCTCTCTGACCTACTTGAAATCTATAATAAAAAAAGAAGGTTTTGTCATTGTGTATGTATTGTTGGTTTGAGAAAAAGGAGACAAGCTGTGTACAAGTGGCTGAGAACAATCTGCATTTAAAAAAATTACTCTAGAGTATAATTAGATAAAATAAGACTTTAAACATTTCTTCAGTCAGACTTATCGACTCAATTTTGTAGGTATGAACTATTGTTTAGTCTCCGCTCAGAATCCCCTTCTGGCTGGGCAGACACATTCCACAATGTCATGTGACTGTCAGCTCGTAGCATACGTCCGTCGTCCATTGTCCACAACGTAAGGTAATCTGCTATTGTATTGCATTAGCCCTCCAGATATATGTGTCCAAATGGCACAGCAGCAGCAGCACCATCATTACCACCACAGTCCACCCCGACTGGGCTCTTCTGGACCTGAGCCGCTGTAACACTAACAGGCTCCGCTGCAAAGAGACATTCTCACAGGCTGAGATTAGCCTCAGTGTCCAGCCAAATGCCACTTTGAGAGAAAACTGATATGAATAATCCGCCATGTTTACACGCATGCCCATGACATAAGGATACGGTCTTGGTGGTGGTGGTGGTGTGTGTGTGTGTGTGTGTGTGTGTGTGTGTGTGTGTGTGTGTGTGTGTGTGTGTGTGTGTGTGCGTGTGTGCGTGTGTGTGTGTGTGTTTGTGTGTTTGTGTGTGTGTGCATGTGTGAGTCATACGGAGGGCGCCAAGTCTGTTACTGAGACTGTCCATGCTGCTTTGTGAGACTTGATGCTGTGACTTTGTGCCAGAAGGCAAAAGCTTCAATTCACAATGTTAGCTTTAGCAGCGCCAAAGCGTATGGGGGAAAAACACATTCTCCTGTTTTGGCACTTCACACATTGCTTTTGCACCTTTTTTATTTATTTAAATAGATGTTCCTACACACCTATTAATTGCTGTTACCCTCACATTTAGTATGTAATGTTAAATTAATCGCCACAATTAAAAGAATGAAGTTAATTATAGGAAATCGGCCAAGCATTTATATTAATGTTATTGGTATTTGCTCCAATGACTTATGCACAATGAAACTACACACTGCCAAACATACCAAAGTGTAAATGTCCTCCACCCAGGCCAGAGGGGCTTAGCTATTGTGTTTTGTAGCTGGCAGACTGTTGGTGTGTGTATGTGTGAGTCTGTGTGAACAGTGCTAATCAGTATGTTGTTGTGTTGTTGTGCTTTGTGAGGGTGGAACAGGCCTAACAATAATCCATGTTCACCCTTTGCCAGATGAAACGACTGCCAAGCAAGCAGCAGCACTCATGATCCCCCCCCCCCTTCTTTCCCGTAACCCTTCTCCGTTACATCCTCTCTCAGTGACTTCCTCTTCCTCCTCACTGTACTGTATGTAGAGATCAGACCTGATTAGTGAGGCATTAATCTGTAAGGATTAATCCACTGAGGTTTAATGGCTGGTTTTATCAACAGTGAATGATACACTGTTTCTTTCGCTAGAGACGTTAGCATGAAAGCTTGTCTGCATAAAGGAAAAAGCTGATTTAGAAGATAAGGGTGCATCCTTTACCTGAGCTTACTGAAAATGTCTGTTTTATTTGTCTTTTTCACAGCAGACATTTTGATTTATCAGTAGGAAAAGCACAGTGGTTACTAATAACATTTAAGGTGGATCAGTTCTATTAAATGTTTCAGTAAGCAGTGACAGTGAGGCAACACACGCAATACCAGGAAATTCATTTCATCATTGACACCTGTGCCTTTTCTTTAGTGACATGTCAAAATGTCTTCCTTGAAAAATACCCAAGACACCAAACCAGGTGCCAATCTTGTTCATGTTTGTAAAATACAGGGAAAACATTAAGCTATATTTACTCTTCTTCCTCCTCTTTCATCTGACAAAACAGTGCCTTAGAGCTCACATCTGGTGTGTCTTTGAGTGACACAAATAGACTCAGCTTCTCGTGAGCGCATTATCACCACTACTACCTTTAGGTATAGCCAAACTGGAGATTTAGTCATTCTCGTTTGCATATGTTTCTGCTTCTTTTGTCAGACATCTAAACAAGTATACAATACTGATCTGATATTGGCTGATACAATAAACAAACAGCATTTTAAGCACCAAGTAGAAAAAGTCAATTAAATATTTTATGATGGCGAAAATCTACATTGTCCACATTATTCCAAGCAGCAGGAGTTTTTAGACGTCTACTCTGAAGGACATTTATTGTTTGAGATAAACAGAAGCTTCATGTGAATAGAGGGACACAATTGAGAGAACAATAAACACTAGCCCACTATGACTTCACCTCCCGCTTGGATTATTGTAATGCACTATATATTGGGATAAGTGCGTCCTCCCTTGCTCGCCTGCAGATGGTGCAAAATGCAGCAGCACGGCTACTAACTGGCACAC